AGGGCTCAGCCAAATACAGAGTGTTAAATATTATGTGCAGTATGGGTTGGAGATTACATGCTTGGATTCTAGAGCAGATTACTTGAGTTTCAACACTGGCTTTGTCCTTTTTCCCTCTGTGACACAGGGCAACTTGAACTTCCTGTGTCTCAGTTTTCTCATTTGTAAAATAATAACACCTAGCTCATAATGTTGATGTGAAAATCAAAGGAGTTCATATATGTAATGGGCTTACTCACATGGAGTAAGCACAGAAATCACACTAGGTGTTATATTGCTATGTACGTGCCAGCGCAAAATTGAATGCTGGCATAAGTGCATGGGGAATTAAAAAACATCCTGTATTTATGCCTCAAGCAATATAGTTATTTGTTTATCCAATGAATTCATATTTGGTTATAAGCCATTAGTGACAGTTGATAAATGGAACTGTGTTGAATTTAGCAGCTTCTTTCAGAAGCCTACTTGATATTTGAATAAAGAAACTACTCTCATTAATGCTGACTTATTCAGATAAGGTTTATAGAGTATTAGTCTTGATCATCATGTTTATACCTTAAATGAAAGGTTTTCAACCCTAACTACACATTAGAAGCAACTGGGTCTCCCAAACCAGTTGAATTGGAAAATTTGGGGGTGGTTCTCAGGCACTGGTATTTTTTAAAAGCTCCCCAGGTGATCTTAATGTGCAGATAGAGTTGAAAACCACTGCCTTAAAGCATTAGTAATTAAATATATACCCATATCATTTAATTTCTGACATTGATACATAATTTTCTCATATTTAAGTAAATAAGATGACATGGCTATATATGGATGTTTCTTTTAAAGGCAGACCTATTATTTCTATTAATTCTGTAGCTTATGGGTACGTGTTATAAAGCAGAAATAAGAAGTTTGTTTTTAAATTATCTGTGGATTTTTATTTGTTCGTTTTTGGCATGATGAAGTGCTGTATATATTAAAACAGAATATAGAATCACAGACTGTTAAAGGTGAGAGGGACCCTCAAGGCATCTAGTAGAAAGAGGGCTCACTTCGAAGCCAGTCCTGGCTTGCAGGGACTTATTCACTTACTAACTGTGTGATCTTGGAGTACTTACTTAACCAATCTGAGCCTCAACTCCTTCATGTCTGTAAAATTGAGATGAATGTGTACTTTGTACTATAACAACTGCGTTTCATGCCACACACACACACACACACACACACACACAGATCTTGACTCCCTACCTCCTGCCCGATCCCCGCAGCAGCTGGTGCGGATATCCAGAGCAGGGACTGTGTGGGAGCCTCCGCAGTGCTGTCTGAGCTTGCAGGGCCAGCTGCTGGGAACTGCTTCCTCCCACTCCTCAGGGATCATTTCTCTGGCTCTGCTGGGACTGTTTCATGGCTGGCTGTTTGGATCCCATGACCTTTCATGAGTATAACATTTAGTCTGTGGGGGTCAGTCACTGCTGGCCAAGTAGAGTGAAGCTGTTAATGACACTAGAGATGAAGATGGCTTCTTGTTGCCACATGATGGAAGCTTTTGGGTGCCTTCTGATTGTGCCCCAGACAATACTTGTGCAGGACATAGACAGCTGCTGTCTCTTTCCAGCTGTTTTCCTATCCATTGTGTCTTTGTGTTGAGTAGGGACAATAGGAGGCCACTATCTATGTCTTAGTTTAGGGGAAGCAGAGAAAAATCACAGACCTCTTTGATTTTCTTTTTATGATAGGTACAGTAGATTTTGTCTCCTTTCCCACACTTGTCTCTCAGATCCTCTAGCATATGGCTATAAAAGCCTTAGGCCACCCAGCTCTCCTGTTGAACATTCTTTGTGTCCTAGAGAGGAGGTTCATGGGTTGTTTCTTATTAGTTGTAAAGCATAATGCCTGGGGTCGTGATCTTAGCTATGGTGCTTCAATGTCTTTCCCAGTTGTAGGCCTGGCTTTAGGTCTATTGTCAATCTTAATTATGAGAATTCTGCTTTTGTCACCATCTCTCTGGACTGATCTGAAGGTTTCATTGAAAACATTTATTAATTCAGCTGTCATTTTCCTATTTTTTTCTTTTATCTACTGGAATTGGCACCATCTTCTCTACTAGTGGTAGGTCTATTGATTTTTTAGTGATGAGGATCTTGAAACATTACCCTTGTGGGGTGGGTGTTCTAACATATACCTTGTGTTCCTCCAACTAGATTAGGAGACTCCTGAGGGTAGGAACCATGTTTTCTAGCTGAGCATAGTCATACTATCATTTATTATGCACCTACTATGCACCAGAGACTTGACTTTAATTATTTCAATTGATTTCTGTAATAATAATATATACATAAGAAATCTTATTTCAGGCAGCTTAAGTAAACTGCCCAAGGTCATCTAGCTAGTGAGTCACAGAGCTGGACTTTGAACCCAGATAGATCTTAAATCCTCTGTTCTAAATCATCTTTCTAAACTTCTTAAATGAAAGGACAGGTACAGATAAGAGGAATGGAAACTCGGCCTACAGAAGGTTGGATGGAACTGTTGAATAGGGGACTGGTATGGAGTGGCATTCTTGAAGAGGAGAGAGGATCTGCATGTCTTCAAAGCCAGTGCTTTCCCACTAATAATCTACACTGACTTGCATCACTGGCATACACGGACACTTAGTAAGTGGACCATAAGACCTTCCAGGCAGAAGTTACCCCTGCAGAAGGCTTTGGTCCAGGTGTGGAACTTCACTTCATGATTTTTATTCAGGTCAGAGAGACCTTGAAATTATGTGAAGATGTCTCACAATTAGGCAAACTGAAGCAGATTCAAATGAATCCATGGAGATAAGACATTCTGAGCAGCAACACAAGTCTGTGTTGAAGTCAACCATGTCTAGCTGAAGATCAGGAGATACTCTGCAGTCAGCCTCTATGCACATAGTTCAGACCATCAGAATGTGCCCACTGGCTTTGGCAAGCAACAGGAAGTATATAAATGCTTTACCAAGTTGAAGCTTTGTTGAACATGCCCAGAGAGCATTTTCCTTTTAATGTGTTTGGAAACTATACATTTAACTCCTGCTGGGAGTAAAAGTAATTGCTTCACAAAAGAAAAAAGTCAGCTCTTTAAAAGGCTTAACTCCTTTCACAAACATGTGCTTTTTAATGACTGGGAAATTCCTGGTACAGGAGAAAAATGTCTTTTGTCCAAATGAGCTCATTGTGGTCTTAACTCACCCTGTGCACTATAGTTCCTGCTTTCTGTTCCATGTTTTGTGACCAGAGGTTATTGGAAGGATAATCCCTCTGTGGATATTCTCTGCTTTTTGGGCATGTTGCCAAAGAGAAAGTTATCTTAGCTCAGAAACTGCCAAGCAAGTGCAAGAGGCCCATATCCCAGGGGTCCTGAGCCTGTGACTGATAATGACTTGGTTTAGGTTGGCTGTGGGTTGGGTTTTTCAAGCACACTTCATGTGCACTAGGATGGCTGTGTCTGCTTCGTCCTCTTTAGATTTCTCAACAGTTCTATTGCTTCTTGATTCCGGAATGATTTTTCTTTCCTAGGTACATTGTATTTACTCTGCTTTGATTCTATCCTGATGAGCAGAAATATCTGTGCCAGTCGGAGGCCTCATGTTTATCGTTTTAACCTGGTATAAATGAAAAACAGCTGTTGAAAGAAATAGCCCTGTATCTCTTTCTTTGAACACTTGGAGGCTGATGCCTCCTAAAATTAATTTCTGTGTTGGCTTGGCTAAAGTGAAGAATATGTCTGAGGCCTTAGATTTGCTCAGTGAAAGGGTTCTCCTAAATGGTAGTGTAGAGTAGATCTCAGTGGATGCCCTTGATTTAATTGAAGCTCACATTCCTCTATCTTTAAAATAACCGTTTCCTACCATGGAGGAAGTTGCAACTTTGAATGGTGTTAGTTAGGGAGATTGTACATCTATTATGGATGTTTTCAGAAAGAGGCGAACATGGAAGGGGTTCAAATGCACCTTGACAATGACCTCTGTAGTCTCCTTTAAAGGAGACTATATTTTTAAGACAGTTACTTTGAAGGATTAGGGATGGGAAATAAACTGATATTTATTAACTGCTTCTTAGGTACAAGCACTGTGCTAGATCCTTTCTGCAGACTACCTTTTTAGATTTATCTAGGTTTACGTAGTTAATTAATGGCAGCCCATGAGAACTAAACTACCATGCTGCCTCACATCTTGAAGGGTCTGTGTTAGAGTCATTATATTCCCCTAAAATTCATCCATGGCTATAATGAATCAATATTTTGATAAGCCTTTGATAGCTTCTCTCCTGCTTGATTGACTACAAGTTTTTATTATTTTAAAAAATTCACACTCTTGCCACTGAGAATTTGGTTCTTATCATAATTTGTTAACAAAATCTATGCTCTGGGATCTTTGTGTCACTTTCATGGCTCCCTTGGTCTGAAATTCTAAGTTCAGGCTCTGATGCCTAAGTAAGTCTAAGAATAATTTCTTGGTCTGGGATTAAGAAGCTCTGTCTTCAGCTATTATGAAGAGGAGAGGATTATAAAATTCGGTCATGAGCTGCTTAGGTAGTATTTGCTGTAAACCCCATTTCTTGCCCAAAGCACTGTGGCCCCTCTAGGAGGCTCCAGAACCCTTGCCTGAAATCCCTTGAGGAAACCAGGCTTGACCTGGGCATGACCCATGTTTATTCAGTACACCCCCTCTCCAATGCCCCCAAGGCCTAGGTTTATTGTATGCAGCCAATGAGTGTTTCACTGAATATAATAGCTGGTACAACAGAAATGGGAAAAATATGGCTAGGAAATACTATCATACTTGAAAGTGGGAAATTCTGGGTAATTGCTGAGTGCCTCATTTTAGCTCCCATGGGGAAAATACATGGCAAAACGCATAATGGGTTAATATTGTAAAGTGAAAACTCTTATGAGATAAATCAGAAGCTACATATCTGCCTGTGATGCTCAGAATGGGAATGGCACTGATTTGCTGATAATGTATTTTTATTATTATTATTATTCTGTAGCCTCAGACGATACAGCAAACTCTCAAGAGGACATTGCAGTATTATGAGCACCAAGTTATAGGGTGAGTAAAAATGAATTTTGGTTATTATTAAGGGCAAATTAAAGATAATTACTCAAACATAGCTGTTGAGCATGGGGTTTTCTGCCACTGAGGTCAACCTTTTTTCAAAGTGGTTATGCTCTCAGTGTGGAGTGGGGGCTCGTGGGGGCTCATGGGGGCCCCTTGAAATGATTTCCTTTGGCTTATTTGCGTTGAATCCTTCTAAATGAAATTCCCATTGGTATTGTGTTCCTTTTTTTTCTCTTTCCTTTTTGTACTCTTACCCTCTCTTTGTTATCCATTGAATCTCATAGTTTTGCCTTAGTAGTATGGTAAGGCTTATTGGTACCAACTGAGAGCCTTTAAATGGGATTTTTAGACTCCTTCAGTAAAGTTTAATCAAAATCACTACAAGCTTAACACAGTTCAGTGAGGGATACTGGTTTAGCTAGAGTCACGTGCTCCATATTTTTCTTTATTATCTCCCATTTCTTGAAGTGGTTGTGATATGGTGTAAAGTAAGACAACTTGAGGTCAGAAGGTAGGAATCCAAGGCCTCACCAGCACATAGAACTTTAAGTAACTTTATCTCTGTTGTAAAGAGTGATGTTGATGATAATAATAACTAAATCAAGGATTAGATGTCATGATTCAATGAGATCATTTCAATGAAAGTATTTTGTAAACAGAAAGCTCCAAGTGTAGGATATACCTTTGATTGGCTATGGCAGAAAGCAATTGGCAAATACAAAAGCCTAAATTCACTTTCTGATGCAATCTAGCTATTTAAATTAAATTCATTGATATTAGAGGCAATGCATATTTTTAATTCACATTGTTAATATTCTCTAAGTGCTACAATGATTTATCTTTGTAAGATTTTAAGAGCTTTTGAGGAGTCAAGATTCAAACCCTGGTACCTCTTGAAATGCTATGGGGAATCATTTAACATTTATGGCTAATAGTCACTCCCATGGGGATCAAGAATATATTTTTGGCTATTAGGATGTAATGTGATTTTTTTTTTTTTTTTTTACAAAACGTAAGGGAAGAAAACTTAGTGGAAAAATAATCTCAGAACCTAGTATAATGCCATATATTTTAAGTGCTTGATGATTATGTTAATTGTCATTTCAAAGGGAATTGCTTTGAAACTTTGTCATATCAATCCTCAAGAGTGCAGTACTAGGAGAAACATATTATTTAAACTCATGAGATGGTTTTTAGTTTGAGGCCATTAGTGATTTTAAATGGTTTATCCTAACAGAGATAAAGAATGTCAAGTTAATCTCTCCCCACATATTCTAAAATAAAGCTTAATCACTCTCACTGAGTTTGCTCCTTTCAAAGTATGGTATTTGGATTAAATTAGTCAATATACTTAGAACAGTTCCTGGCATGTGGTAACCACTACATACTTATTTTCTCTTATGTTTATTGTAATTATTATTATTAATATTTTTATGACAATACCAGTAATCAAATGCAAATCATTTTCTAGAATTATGAATGCCCTCTGTTTTGAAATCAAATAATAACTGATGAAATAGTCACATCTGTGAACTGAAGTATGTCTTCATGGCAAATTGGAGTGGGAATCTTATGTGATCAAAATAGATAACTAAACTATATTACCATAATCAGCAGAAAATTCTTTTCTCCATTAGTAAGATGGAGTTCTCTTTTATCTAAATTACTGCCTCAACTCTCCTCTTCTCTCCATCTGTGTAGACATAGCCTGTGGGGATTCTTTTTTCATTGTCTAAGTGGTCTTTTCTAGTTCTGTTTATTGCAGACACAGCATAAAGAAAACAAACAGGGAATGCAACTCCAATATAAAGAGATGTCTTGATGTCGGACAGGTTCCAGATAGACCTATTAGCATATTTTCACTTGGGTATTGGCTGACTTCTGAGGACTTGAAGTACCTTTGCTCACTGCCTCTACTTGTACTCATGCTAATGAAGACAAAAAGGGCGAGTTGGCAGCAATAGTGTCACATTTGCCTGTCTTGACTTTGCCTCCCTCCTCCCTCAGTCATAGCTTCCCTGTCCATTCCCTCTTTTGCCTTTTAGACTCCATCTTTCTGCTTTCTATTTCTGCTTTCAATACTGAAAAAGGAGAGCATCTATTATCACTAACACTTGGATTAAAATGTATTCACATGTATGTGTTGTTCCTCTTAAAAAAACACAGTTTAAGGCATTTTATCTCTAACTGTGAAAAGGAATGCGTTTCTTACAGTTCAAGGGATTTCAGGCAATTGAGAATAAGTGCTGGCAAGTATTATTTGCGTATTTCTGGGGAAGAAGGTGTGGCAAAGATGCTTTTCCTAATCCTTGAAATTGGGCTTTGCCTTAAGCTTGTCTTGAGGTAATTCGGCTTTTAGGTGCCTTGGGTTGGGATGAAGAATCAGGATGGATGACAGAGAATATGAGCTAGCCCTTCTCTTCTTAATTTCCTAGTTCAGCCTCCAACCACTAACCTCCTCATCCTCCCTTTCCTCTGCTTTAAAACTCTGCCCTTGGATCTGTGTCTTGTATCAGAGCTCCAGGACTGTATAGTTCTGCTCCTTGATGAATTCTTATATCAGTAGCCCATAGAAACTCTCTGAGGCTTTTTTAGTCTCCAAGACCTAGACTTGATTGCAGGGAGCAGCTGCTCAAAGGATCACACAGATGGAGAATTGGGAGGGAGTAGCTGACGGAGCTTCTTTGCTAGGGAGTAAGACAGCCTCTCTGTACCTCAGCTACTTTATTTTTTTAATTAATTATTTATTTTTTTTGAGAAAGATTAGCCCTGAGCTAACATCTGTTGCCAATCCTCCTCTCTTTTGCTAAGGAAGATCGGCCCTGAGCCAACATCCGTGCCCATCCTCCTTTACTCTATATGGGACGCTGCCATAGCATGGCTTGACAAGTGGTGCGTAGGTCTGTGCCCAGGGTCTGAACCCTCGAACCCAACCGCTATGCCACTACACAGGCTCCTTAACTACTTTATTTTTAAACATTTATTCTCTTCTTTAACTTAGCCATTCACTTGTTCATTTATTTATTCATAGAGATCATTTAAGTTGGGAAAGTGAGTGCTAAAATAATTTATTCATGCAATGTGATAAATCTTTTCTTCATCTGCACTGTCACCATTGTCTCTCACCTAGAGATTCCGATCTAGTTTTCTGGCTTCTCCTCTTGTCCCTCAACCTTATATTTTCATGACAGCAAAATGATTAAAAATTAGATCATGCCACTTTCTTACTTTAAACCGATGGTTCTCAAATGTTAATATGCATCAAAATCACCTGGCAGGCTTCTTAAAACACAGATTTCTGGGCCCTACACCCACAGTTTCTGATCAGCTTTGGCTGGGTGGGGCTCAAGAATTGGCATTTCTAACAAGTTCCCAGATAATACTGGTGCTACTGGCCCAGGAATCACACTTTAAAATCCCTGCTTTGAACCGTATAATGACTTATTGGGATAGAATAAAATTTGAATCTTCCTGTGATCTGGCCTCCACTTACCTCTCTGATTTCATCCTCTTCCACTCTCCCTTTCCCTCCCCTGCAGCCACTCCAGCCACCTGGTGGTTTCTCAACTGTACCAAGCTTGCTTGGCCTCCAGGCCTTTCCACATCCTGTTCCATTTTTCTGGAATGCTCTGTCCCGAGATGTTCACATGGATTATTCTTTTTATACATTTAAGTGTCTCTTTAAATGTCCTAGCTTCAGAAAGGCCCACCTGCTCTGACCACCCAATCTAAAGTAGCCCTCCATCCCTTACCTTAATCTCCAACCCCAATCATTTTTTTTTTTTTTTGAGGAAGATTAGCCCTGGGCTAACATCTGTTGCCAGTCCTCCTCTTTTTTGCTGAGGAAGATTGGCCCTGGGCTAACATCTGTGCCCATCTTCCACTGCTTTATATGGGACACCACCACAGCATGGCGTGATAAGTGGTGCGTAGGTCCGCGCCCGGGATCCAAACCTGCGAACCCCGGGCCACTGAAGTGGAGCGTACAAACTTAACTGCTATGCCACTGGGCAGGCCCCCCAATCATTTTTTATTATGTTACTCTTTATTATTTTTTTTCATAGTGCTTATCATTAGCTTATATTGTTTTGTTTATTTTATCTTTTGGTTATTTATCGTGTTTACTTCTATATTCCTGTGCCTTTATAAATCTTGGTACATAGGAGGGACTAATAATTTTTTTTTGGAGAGGTAAGTGTGAATAAATGAATAAATTGCACCCTAGAGGTATGTACACAGAGGTAAGTACATAGTGGATAAAAGAATAAGTTGTGCTTGGGAAGGGAGTCTAAAATAAGGGGTTGAAATAATCTCCAGGGTCCATTTTGGTTCTAAAATCTATAGTTCTAGTATCCAGGACCCTTTTGTTTATAGCATAAATTATACTGATTTATTTGCATAGTTTCCATTTATGCTAAATGTCCTGCTGCTGTGTGTCAGATTGACTTTGGTAAATTTAGATTACTATAGAAACTCTACACAAGTATGCTTACTTGGATTGCTTCCTGTTCGTGTAGCTCAGTCTTCTTCACTCAACATAAAATGAAAAAAGGGGCATTGAGTGTACATCTTTATGTTATGTTATCTCTCTTTGACTCCAGCTTCTGGAGAATGGACTAGCTTTCTGGGCTGTGTGGGGTGGAAAGAATAGTGAGAAGCAAAAGGGGTAAGTCGGAGGCAGGGAGGGTTCACCTTAGGAATTAAAAGGAACTCAGGACTGAGGAAAATCTGGTTGGCATTTTTTCTTATGTCCTTCTTGCTCTTATCTTGTGCCCTTCCTTTTCTCTGTGCATCTGTGTTGTGTAATGCAGAGCAGGGAACTGAGAAAATGTGCTTTGGAAGTAGACATATCAGATTTACTAGACTTAAAGTCAGATTCTGCCTTTGAATGATCTTGGCAGATCTTGACCCTCAGTTTTCTCATTTTTAAAGTGAGAATACTAGCGGGTTGGGGTGAAGTTTCAATGAAATATTAATGATAATAATGTGTTAAGTCATAGAATCATATAAAGTAGTTAGTACAGTGCCTGGTATCCAAAGATAATCAACAGATTCGTTGGATTATTATTACCACTATTAGTATCTGACTCTATTGCATGTCAATTTTTGCTGATTGTCTTTCTCTTTGTCCTCCTGCTGTATCCTTTCCCTGTCCTCTTTGAGCCTTTACAAGTTTGGAATCAATTGTTTAGCATCAGGAGCTAAACATGCCCAGTTCATGTTCCAGCTACAGCTTTCTTCTTACAGAGACTTTGGATTTTTTTAAATCTACATTTCTGCCTCTAGAGTGCCTAAGCCAACTGCTCTTACTCATGTTTACACTACCTGACTACTACCGGTCTATAGCTCACAAAAATGGATTCCTACGGCCATGCCGACAAAGCAGAGATTTCTTTAAAACTGTGATTGGAAAACACATGATAATCTTTCTGAGATATAATGTTCATTCATTATATATTTTATAAAGAAACATGTACTCAGAATCATGCCATTCATTTTATACTTTTTGCCAGAATAAGCATTGTTCTGCTAATATCATGGGTAGGACTGCTGCCAACCTCATATTAGTCTGACACACCATTTCCTGTAGTCATCTAAAATTAAATTCTATTACTCCAGTTATCGCTGTGGGCCCTATGTTTGTTTTATACAGCCAACCTTCTGTTCTCTTTTTATTTTGACAATTGAATAGGGATTAAGCTAGAATAATTTCAATAGAACATTAGAAGTAAAATTAGGAGTAGCTGAACCCTGATTATTTTAGGAAACAAACTTCAATGATATTACTTATGCTTTCGTGGTCAGACTTTGTGACTATAAATTATTTTATCTAAAAAGTGATCTAGCTTCACTTTCATATATTTATGTAGAATAACTATCTATCTTATTGAATAAAAACAAGTGAGACAAAAGCTAATATCTATTGATTACTTCCCATGTCTGAGGCAATACACTGGACACTTTACATCTGTTATTTTATTTAATCTTAACCATCTATTTCATAGGATCATTGTATTAAGCTCATTTTACAGACGAGGAAATTGAGGCTGAGAGAAAAAAATATTTTATCCAAGGTCACTCTGATTAAAATGATGGAGCTTGATTTAAAAATAACCCTGTATTTGTCTGTGTTTAACAACTATGCTCCCCGTTCCACCTTTTATTAGTGATTCCTGCATTCTAGAAACTGTAGTTAAGTATTTTGCCTTATTGGTTTGTTGGAGTCTGGTCTCAGTGAGGTGTACAAACATGAAACCATTTTATTTTTTCTCCCCAATCATTTCAAACATGCTCGGATGAGTCCCCTTTGATAACAGGCTGGGTAGATTGCTGTGTCTCCAAATACTTGCAGGGAGTGTAAAGTCCATTCCAGACCAATTCAGATCTTCAATCTCACATCCAATCTCAGTCTTGTATGCCTTTCTGCCCGGGTCAGGCCTTGGCCTGAGGAACTTGGAATGCATTGTAGACAGGGTGTGATGTGGTTTTTCATTCCTCTGCTCCAGGCCACTCCTTTCTGAGACTCTTTCTCTTCTGATGTATTTATCAGGCAGGAATAAAATGAAGAATGACAGAAGCCTTTTGTAATTCACTGTTGGTTCTAACAGTCTCTTGGCTGTGAGGCCCTCAGTGAGGCGATGTATGGGCTCTGCCTTGATGGCTTCAGATGCGACCACTCCTGGCCCTGAGGATTGCACTCCACAGTCTTGCTAGTGGGATCCTTGCCCCTGGCTGGCAGTCCCTAGACTGGGAAGCAGTAGGATGGGACAACCCAAGCTTGCCTCTCTTTAGGGGTATCTCCCTAACCCCTGGGTAACTCATATTTTTTGCCATGCCAACTGGTGGGGCTGTAGGCCGTTCCCAATTGGCTCTATTTCTTTCCCTGTTAATAATTCTCTCTGAAACCTTCTTCCTCTACTCAATCAGGCACAGAGGGATGATCAGAAATTCCACTACCTCAGCAGATGTTCACCGAGGAATGAGATATCCAACTCCCAGTCTCTGTCAGGGGTAGACCCCTCTCTCACCAATGGGGCTTCTGCAGGGAACACTCCTCTTCTCTCCTTTTCTTGTAGGGGAGGGAATAAAGAACAGCAGCATTCTCTTTCTAGGCCAGTTACTCACTCTTCTGAGGATTTCCTTTTGAATTTTTTCTATTCCTTTGCTTCTGTAGACTGGTGGTGGGTGACAGTGGCAGTAACTATTTAGTCACTTCTTAAGTTCTGAAGGAGATGTCTGGTCTTCCTGGCTACTCTTTTGGAACGTGGGAGCATTTGGCCTCTATTGTCTTCAACTTTGGTGCCTTAGCTCTAACTCAGAGGCAACTGGAAAAGTTCCAGTCAGTATCTCCTTACACAGACATTTTGTCCTTTGGTCCTCACAAGGACTCTAGGAGGTATCTCCATTCTATGAAGGAGGAAAGTTAAACTAACAGAGATTAGGTTACTTGCCCAAAGTCTCACAGATAAAAAATAGTAAGACCATGATTCAAATTCTGTCAGACTCTAAATGCTGTAATGGCTTATTTGTTATCCATACACCATACTGCTGTCTTCTTCACTGTCTGTGATAGAGGTTAAGAGGTGTTTACTTTCAACACAGTTGAGGGCCAGTGCACCAAATTAGTACTGTTAATTATTCTTTTTCTTGGCATCTTCTTTATAGAAACAGATGACCAGCAGTGATGAAGCGCTCAGATAAGGAAACATTAGCTATACAAAGCTAATATATTTTCTGGTTCTCCTCGTTTATTTTTTTCACACATAGACAGCTTATTAATGATTGCCTCCAGTTCCAGGTCCACACTGCTAATGCTGATGTTCATAATGGGTTATTCCAGAAATTACATCTTAAAACTTCCGTTGTTTGAAAATGTTACGCCAAGAGCAGAGAGTACTTAATGAAGGAAATCATACGGTACATTGTGTGTGGTGATGGGTTGTAATTAGTATTTTGGTGGTGAACATGATGTAGTCCATGCAGAAATAGAAGTACAATGATGTACACCTGAAATTTTTACAATGTTATAAACCAATGTTACTGCAATAAACAAAAAATTAAAATTAAAAAAAAAAAAAAAGAGCAGAGAGTACGTGTGCTTGTGCGTTATGTATATGAGTGCATTTGTAGATGCTTTCAAAAATTTCTCCGTATGCTAATTTTGTTTTCTTCTTAGTTATAGAGATGCAGAAAAGAATTTCCACAATATCTCTAACAGATGCTCCTATGCAGACCGTCCCAACAAAGAGGAAATTGAAGATGTCTCAGGAATTCTTCAATGTACTGCTAACATACTAGGTATACTAACTATATATTTATACGATTGAGAGAGAATGAATGAGGGCAAGATGGGAAAGTAAAGGTGTAAACGTTTCATTTTCTACTAAACAGAGGTTTGGAGGCTATTGCAAATTGAGACCAAGATCTTGTCTTCAAGTGATTTAATTTCAACATTCCTGAAGATGTTTGAGTGGAAATTACATGCATGCCATTTACTTGGATATTGAAAAACACTATAATAAAAATACTTACATTCCAGGGAAACTTTTCTAAATATTCATGTATTAGTATTATTAGCCTCCTATAATCCATGTTTTTCTGGCTTTTGCCCTGGGCTAAAATTGGGGATTGCCCTCTCCTCTCAAAGTTCATACTCTATTTCTATTATTATTATTACTCTGTTATTTCTGGGAGGCCCTAGCTGGGCTGGAGGTGGCTCACATGTACTCTAGGGGACTCTACAACACAGGGGCAGTGAGGCAGGTCATCTACTGAGGTCTTGGTGCTCTACTTGGAGGGGGTGTCCACCTTGAAAATACTAGTATTTATGACAGAGGGGCTGGTAAGCACAAGGTGACACTGTTGGCTCAGCACAGCTTAGTTGCCTTTCAAAGTTGCCATGAGATGCAGATTAAGTAGAGAGTGAAAGGAGCAGCAGGCACTCTGCTGCCTGATGATATTAGGGAAAGAGTAGTTTTAAGTTAGGTACTTATAATTGAGAAAGTGACTGTATAACAAGGTTTGGATTTCCATAAATATTAAATTGTTCTAGAAAAGAGATATTAGGGCTGATTTTTTTCCCTCTAAGTAGTGATGGGTTGTGCTGAAAATGTAGAAAGCACAATCTTGTAAAATTTAAACTTCTGAAGGATGAAACTAAATGCCTGCCACCTGTTGACCTTATGCTGGTACAGATCCAACAGGTGATTATGTGCCTAAGAGGTGGCCGTTTTCTTTTAAATACTGTCTTTTCATAACTCTTGGAATATAGACTGTCAGAGGACAAAGATAACAGCTTTACTGATCGTATTTAATGAAAGCTTTGTTTTTAACAAGTTACTGAGCTATAATTCATCTTTGCTTGCTTAGATTTCATTTTTTAAATTACATTTAAATTCTGTGCAATCACTTATGAGAATGCAAGAGCTGATTAACTTACTGGACAGAAAAATACCATACAAGAAATGAAAACTTTTTTGGAGTGGCGGGGGTTGGCGGGGGGAGGTTGGCAAGGAGAAATAGAGTTTCGACCAAGTTAAGAGAAATTCTGATGCCTGGAAACCTTCTCTGCGAATGCCAGAGGGCAATTTTCCAACACTATGATTTATATTTATCACTTTTGGGGAGTGTGATTAGAATATTGGGATTGGGGAATACATATTTCTCTCACCTTCTTAACCTGTTACAGGGTTGTGGTAGAGACTAGAAATGTGTTTGTTCACTCGTCTTTGTGTTATTTATACTTCACGTATTATCAAAAAAGACTACAAGTCATAGGTCAGAAAACATGATTGGAGTAGCAAATTTTTCTCCTTTCAAAATGGCCATCTCTATTGACTTAGTATAAACTCTGGATTGTTTGATCATTTACTAGCTCTCCAGGTTGAGGTTTGAGTTTAGCGGTTGGCATGGAATAGAAAGGGACTTGAAGAGAGGGAGAAAGCTTGTTGCAGAAGACCAGTTATGCGTCTGTCGTGCATTTGTTCTGTCGCCTTCTCCCTAGGACTCCCTGGAAACACACACACGTTACAGTCCCTCTAGTAATGGGAGAGAACTATTTCTAGATATCAACATTTTTACCATTTATTTCTCTTTCGTTGGCTTAGAAACCAGTTGTTGCTATTTTCTGTCTCATCATTTACAAATTAGGGATATTAAGTACAGACTGCTCCTTATCATCTGGTTGCCTCCTTTTGGGACTCTGGCAGTCTCTGTGATAATGCAGTACAGTACTCTAAAGAGGCTTTTAATCTCTGGGAAAAGGCTATACAAAGATAGTTGTGAATGATGCCCTCCCTGCTGGAGGCTTTCAGTGTTAAACTGACTGCTTTATTTGGTACATGTCTTTTGCATACCAAAATGGTCTTATAATTTTACTTGTCTGAAAAATGTAAACCTTTCTAGCCATAATCTGCGAAGCCCATTTTTAGCTGCAATTAAGTAGTAAAAATGTGTTTAAACTCTTGTTAGATGCAGCATTGAATATTTTCTTGGAAATTACAGTTGAATGGTATGATGAAGCATCTATGATAAAGCATTAAAGGGTCTAAACTGTGTTTGTTGCTAAGTGTTGCTGCCTGATCCTATGGATTGGACTTAGCTAATGTTGAGGGGAGGGAGGCAGAGAATGGGTAGGGAGAATTAAGGGAGAAGGATGATAAATTGCACATCTCTCTTTGCCATAGTACAATTTAAGATAAACGAGTGTTATGATTATTTCAGTTTTAACAAGTTTTAATACTGTGAAGGGGTGTAGATGTTTCAGTTGTAGAGCATCAAGAGCTGTAATATGGGGGAGATGGTGCAGAAAAGAGACATTCCACAGTAGGACAGGAATCAGATAGAAATGAGAGCTCTAGGTAATTGATTTACTGATGAATTATAGCAAACTACGGTTTGCTGTTTTAATAAGCATTAGTTATTTGCCAAGTATTAACAAAGCATAGTTTTATACTGCTTTTGCTAAGTGCATTTTCTCTCAAAATAATCAGGAAGAACATGAATTGTGAAAGAATACTCATTAAAGTTTTCTCTGTTTTAAAGGTCTCCTGCTAGAGTGGGGCTTTATCTTCTCCAAAGTTTAGCACATTTAAAGTCAGAATCAGAGTAATGTTGTCGTGGGATTATTTGTTGGGAAAGTGCTAGTGAGAAGGGTGGAGGAAATGACCTTTGGGGCTTATACCTCACAATTTTTTCCTAGTATCAGGGACTCTGAAATGCTATGAAACCAGAGCTCTCTATAAAGTGCTGCAGATTCCAGAATGATTAGCTGGTACAGAGCTTTTTGTTGTTGTTTTTTTTTTTGTAAGTAATAATTTGTTCCTTATATGTTAATGTGCATGTACATTTTGATTTTATTGTGATTTGGAATGTGCATTTAGCAGCCTTTTAATTGGCAATAAAACTGAAGAATTATTTAGCCTTACTTATGGTTGTGATTACCTTGGGGGTTTTCTCAGAATAACTCTAAATCATATAATTGTCCAGTGAATTGAAATATGTCTAACATATTTAGCATCTTGGAGAACTAGTTGGTGCAATAACCGCTTACCATTTTTATTGATGAATTAAGATTAGCAATGAATAAATTCTGCCAATATAGTTCTTGTTACTGTAACTTGGTAACTGATATGTTTTCTCTTTTATTAAAAGTAAATATTTAAAGTATTTTAACAAGATGAAGGAGTTAAGATGGCTGGGGAGGAACTGAATTAATAATGATATTATAATGTAGTGGTTTAGAGCTAAGACTAGAGCCAGACTTGGGTTGAAATGTGGCTTGGCTACTTCTTAGCTGTACGAACTGGAATGAGTTACTTAATCTGTCCATACTTCATATTTCTCATTTGTAAAACGGAGATAACGTAATTCTATACCTCCTGGAGTTGTTAGGAAGATTAAATAAGTTAATTTATATAAAGTACTTAGAATCGCCTGATATATAACAAATGCTAAAGTGTTTGCTCCTATTATTGAATATTCACAAAATAATGTTTGCATCAGACCTGGGAGGTCAATATTGCTTACATTTTTGGGTGAGGAAACATACTTTGAGACGTTAACTTGTAAACTTCTTTTGTCAGCAATGACAAGCCACAAAAGCAGGATTTAAACTCATGTCAGTCTGATTCTGAACCCCGTGTTCTTTCCACTGCTTCATGCTGCCTGCCAGTCATTGGACTGGGATTGACTTTACCTCACCTTTCTAATGCTAATTACACGAGGCTTTCTAGTTCTCTGAGAACTGTCAATTATGAGAATTGTCATGATATTTACTGAGTTCATTACTATTTCAAAACGTACTTGGGATACTTGCTTGTATGTGACAAGTAGTATCAAAACTGTTTGACTATTTCTCATTGGTATTGAGGAGAGTGCAGTTTCATTGTAATTTGGATCATTTTCAGTTTAGAAACAGTATGGTTTTCTTTAGATTTCAGAATTTTAATTTGCGTTGTTGCAATATTAGCATTGTCACAACAAAAATATTGCAAGGTATAAGAATTCAAATTTTAATTTGTATTGTTGACAGTGCAAATTAAGGGCGATTCTGTTGCCATCATGACACACATGGTTTCATAGTAATGCTGTAGTAAATGCTATACCTGTTCCATTGGCTGCAAGATTTTAAGCTGATCTTAGTAGGTAGGTGGCTTCACTTAATATGTTAGATATCATTGGTCTGGCACAAAGCTAACAAAAGGCTGTATTTCTGATGCCATAGACTTTTTTTTAGTGGATAAGTTTAGGAATATTGGCACAGTATCTCATTTAACAATTCCTAACAGAGACCTTGAGTAGTGGTTCTATGTAAATTAGAAAGAACTTCTGTTTTCTGCTCTCTGCTTGCATACTTTCCCAGAAACAATTAGATGTAGTGGGTAGGCCTGAAAAGGAATGAGACCACTGAGTGTGGACACTGCCTCAAATATGTATAAAATAAACACTTTCATAAAAACTGATGCTTAAATTATGCAGATCAGTTTTAGAAGATAGAAGTATATTGAACAGAAATGTGGAGTGCTTTCTCTCCTCCCGTAGATATTCTTTTTCTCTTAAGAGCATTTTCTTCTAAATCTTATGAAAGGCCTTTTCCCATTTATCCTGCTAAATTTCTCCACACTTAGCTACTCTTCCTTACTAGAAAAACATAGCAGTCATTTTTATTCCTTTTGTTTGGTCTTCTTAGTTTATCTCTAATGCATTGTTTCCCTATGCAAATTTCTGCTCTGCACCTCTTCTTTGTGTGGGAGGGCAACCTCTCACATCCTAAATTCTTCAGACTGTCTGTTGTTCTC